GATTGGGGGAGAGGCGGAAAGTAGCATTAAAAAACATTTTTTTTGACCACTTGACTGTCCCAATCCCCCTTCTTTTTTTTTTTTTTTTTTTTAATTTTAGAGAGGTTTTTGCTATAGGGCATGTGCACTCGCTGGAGAGACAGAGAGAAACAGAAAACAAGAAATCGCCCCCCACGGGGGATGCACACCGCAATCCTTTCTCCTCCATTCTCCTCTCAGGATCTGGGGCACGTGTGTACACGTGCCTGGCATGAGTTTCAAGCTTCTGGGTCCAGACTTGAACTGTGGTCAGCCACATGGAAGTCAAACGACAGAACCACTACGCCACCTGCTGCCCCTGCTGCTTCTCGTAATATGATTTATTCTAGGCAGACAAGGGAGAGAATCAGCAAAAGCATGCTTGCTTCTGCTACTTACTTTACTGATGCAAAGAGATGTAAATTTATTTTATAAAAGGATAGCCTTTTGTTACTAATTCTGTGTCTGCAGTCTCTCTGAATAGTCATTTCCAAATTGGTCAAAACGTATCTATTTTGGAGTGGCATATTTTGACCTCCCACATCTTGACAGACTCACTGGCACCTTAAACTTGTCAAAATTTGAGCTCACGAGCTTTCTCCGTGTGGAGCCAGGTTTCCTCCTGACGTTTTATTATGAACATGTGAAACATAGCAAAGCAGAAAGAATCGCACCCGCAACACCCATGTACTGGCTACCTAGATTTCATCTTCGATGCTCCCCGACTCCCAGGTGTCCCTCTGTCTATCCATCAGTCCATCTCATCTCAAAGGAAATTGCCAGCACTGAAGAGCTTTCCCCAAATGGTTACACGATTAACTATTGTTGGTTCATTCCCCAGTTTTATGAAGGTATGATTGACAAAAAAAAGTGTGTATAGATAGATATATATCGATATTAATATAAAGATATGTTTTTTAATGAGCTCACAATTGCTGGCAGCACTCTGCCCAACTCTGGGTACCATAGATCAAAAGTATTTGTAACATTGTTTTTACTTACCATTTTTATCATACTTACCATTGTTTATACTTATCCTTTATCTATGAGATCAGGAAAGGCAGGGCTATGCCATAATTATTTTTGTGTTTTCACTGATTTCTATAACATCTACTTCGTGTAGGTAAGATATAATTTTTATTGACAGAGGGTGCATGCATTTGCCAGAAAGACAGAGAAGGGGAGGGAAAAGAAGAAAACACCCCCAATGGGGCATAGTCACATCACAATCCCTTCCCCTCACTTCTCCATCCTGTCGGGATTTGGGGCACACAGCTGATAAGTTTTTTAAGCTACCAGGGCACCACGGTTTGGTATGTGGGATCCAGCATCCTTAACCATTAGGCTCGGGGGCCAGCCCATGTAAATGATATTTTAAACATTAGCTATTATCATTATTTCCTTGAACAGTATCCAATCTCAGTAAAACAGGGCAGGGAAATCAAGTAAATGGCTTGGCTGTAAATTCAAGTCAGTGGATTAATTTCATTTCATTAGCTTATTTCTCCAATGAAACTAAACCGGGGTGTTGGCAAAGTGTATTCAAAAGCCAGATGGTAAATATTTTAAGCTTTGCAAGACATAATGTTTCTGTCCTAGCTACTCAGTTCCATGTATTGTGAAAGCAATTATGGGTAATATGAAATGAATGGGCATAGCTGTGTTCCAGTAGCATTTTATTTTTGGACACTGAAATTTGAATTTCACATAATTCCCTTGCATTATGAAATATTGGAGGTTTTTTTTTTTTTAAACCTTTCTCTTCACCATCTAAAAATGTAAAAGCCATCCCTAATTTAGACTAGAAAAAAAAAAAAAAAAAAAAAAAAAAAAAATATTATTCTTTTCTGGAAGGATGGACGGGTCAGTTCACGGCTTCTGCAGCCTGTGCGGGGAGATGTGAACCTGAGAAGGAGCAATGGTGAACTGGGAGAGACACACAGACGCGCAAGTAGAGACAGATAGGATGGGTGGTCCGAGCACCTCTGGTGGAAAGAGCCGTGGCCCTGAGCAGTTTCCAAGTCTATTCTTTGATAGGGCAACAAGGGGAAAGGGAGAAGTGGAGTGCCAGCTGCTCGGCTGTCAACGGAAGCCTTGGGACATCGTGTTTTGCTTTTCTATTCTAGCCTCCTCTTGCCCCCCGGCCTTCACGGGCCCACACATCCTTTAACCCCACTTGCCTTGTGGTGTTGGCACAAGAAAGCACAAGTGTGTCTCTACCCATCTTTAAAGGCCACCATTGTTCTGCTCAGATTCAGCCACTCCCTACACACAAGGATCAGATCCAGGGGTTTTGGATTTTTCTTTTAAAGAGTTATTTTTATTTAACTTTATTTATTATTATTATTATCATTATTATTTTCCAATTTGATCCTAGAGAGACAGAGAGAGAGAGAGGAAGGAAGGAAGCAAGCAAGCCACCAGGTCCGAGACTTGAACCATGGTCGGCCATGTGGGAGTCCAGCGCCTATAACCACCATGCCACTTGCCGGCCCCAGGGGTTTTGGATTTTAACAGTCTAAATGTTGGTAGATTGAAAACTCTTAAGAACATATGATTAGTCACAATTAACAACCATTCTCCTTTCCTCTCTACTAAATGTTAGATAAAAATTACTTGAGTAGAAAAAGGGAGAGATTCAGGGCAGCAGTAAAGGGGAGAAACCAAAAGAGTTTAGATAGAGTGGGATTCGAAGGAGGACCTGGGCCATGTTCTGTATTGGTAGTGGGAGGTGGGGGACTATATTCTAGAATTCTCTGGATAGTCCGGACATTCTTCTCTCCATCCAACAATGCTCCCAGGGACTTAGATGTAACCCTACGAAAAGAAATGCTCAAACTGACGAGGAGATTAGGTTTCAATTTTGCCAACCTTCAGAAGTGACCTTCTAAATCGAAATGAACTGTTATAAAATATAAAGTTATCTGTCTCGCACTCTTGAGATTGTACTGTCTGCATAGGCGTTCAACTAGGTCTGCTCTCTCGGTGTTTCTTTTTACTTCTGAAGGTACCATCGTGAGGCATCATCTTGTATTTGCAGGGCCCTAGGCAGTCTCCTGGTTTACCTCCTGGTTAAAAGGAAACAAACCAAAACAAAAACCGATTCACATTTCTGAAAAATTCTTTCTTCTATTTTGGAATTCTGGCTGTACTTTAATGTATTTGTTTTCTTCAAGAGGACTTTTCTATAAACATGATGTTAAGAAACATATTGGAGAATAACAACTCCTTTACAAGGGAAGCTAGTGTAGAGCAGAATGCATTTGAAAGTCAGATCTTGGGCATGCGAAGCGAAATATCTCCTGGATTCCAGGGGCCCCCAGAAGTTCACTGGTCATATTTACAGAGCAGAAAATTCCAAGGCCGTGAGTAGAGACAAAGCTTATGGAAAACCCTGAATGGCATTTTTTTAAAGGAAGTATGACACTAATCTTTGAAACAGATATTTTTTATGAATCTTACATTTTCAATGCAATGCACATTTTAAAGATGGATTTTTTCAGATTAGGTTTTAACAGAAGAATCCCTCCTCCTTCAGGAGGAGGCTACCTCTTTGTTTCTTTTTCTTTTTTTTTTTTTTGAGAGATTTTCACTGTAGGGTGCGTGCGCTTGCCAGACAGACAGAGAGAGACATAGAGACAGAAAGCGAGAAATCACCCCCCAGGGGGGATGGTCACGCCGCAATCCCTTCTCCTCCATTCTCCTCTCGGGATCTTGGTCACGCACGCACACGCGCCCAGCGTGAGTTTTAAGCCACCGGGTCTGGGACACGAACCGCAGTCGACTACGTGGGAGTCCAGCGACATAGTCATTACACTAACTGCTGGTTCCCTTCTTTGTTTCATTTTGAGAGTTTGACTTCACCTTTCATGAGTATATGGTAACTGCTTTTTCCTAGTTGTTGCACCAATGCCTTCGTTTCTAGAGTTTTGTTTTGTTTTTTTTTGAAGAGGTTTTTTTGCTATAGGGCATGTGCGCTCGCCAGACAGACAGAGAGAGGCGTTGTTGCATCAATGCCTACGTTTCTAGAGTTTTGTTTCGTTTTTTTTGAAGAGGTTTTTTTGCTATAGGGCATGTGCGCTCGCCAGACAGACAGAGAGAGGCAGAGAGATAGAAACCGAGAAATCCCCCCCCCCCAGGGGAGATGGCCACGCCACAATCCCTTCTTCTCCATTGTCCTCTCGGGATCTTGGGCACGCACACACACGTGCCCGGCATGAGTTTTAAGCCACTGGGTCCGGGACTCGAACTGCGCTCAACTACGTGGGAGTCCAGCGACATAGCCATTATACTAACTGCTGGTCCCATCTAGAGATATTTTATGTCTCCTTTCAATAATGCCTCACTTTTTTTGGTATATCACTGTCTGAACATATTGAAGTTGTACAAATGTCTCGGTTTCTCTCTCCCAGCTGAACCAGCTGTTTTGGGGGTCATTTTTATTATGTGTTATGGTGGATTATAGTGCCCCACAAAAAACGATTTTTAACTTTATTCCTCAGCTATTTTCTTTAATAAATTCCATTGGATTTCACAGTTTAACAGTCTCAAATGTTTTCTATTTTCTCTTACACATACACATATATACATATATTATTGGGTCTTGTATTAATAGACCTGCATAAACCTTCAATAAAGACCAGTTTAACAGCTTAGCTCATGAGTGTTTTTTATTTTTTTCTTCTAAAAGTTGTCATTAGTAAGTAAAATTGTTTCATCATGCAGGAGAATTATTGACCTACATATTCAGGTTCCCCATTTCTCCATCCTATTAAAATTGATGATTCCAAAATTTAAAATCTTTTACATTGTTTACTTTCTTGAGATTTGAGAGCAGTGTCAAACACAAAACACTGTGTGTTTCACTTTTACTATTTAACACATGTATTTCATTATGTATGGCCATATTTTATATAAAGTATTTTATTCCTCTTTGTCTTCCCAGGTTTTAGAAGAGACCTCGGAACATACAAGGTGCTCCCTTCATTTCTGCTCACTGGAATAATTGTTTGATTTAAAAGCACACTGTATTTTATTACTGTTATCCGTTTGTTTTAGGTTAAAGAGTTCCACACCAATTTTACAGATGTACAACAGTCTGAATTCTACCTGGAGCCAAATATTAAGTATGTATTTCAAGTGAGATGTCAAGAAACAGGTAAAAGGTACTGGCAGCCCTGGAGTTCACCGTTTTTCCATAAAACACCTGAAGCAGGTGAGTGTATTTATATATTTTAATCTCTCCGGCTTTTCCATTGACTTCCGCTTCTTTTCTAAGTGTGTGTGTGTGTGTGTGTATCTATACACATACATATATTTCTTTTTCCTTCCTTTTTCCTCTATGACTTCTAACATTGATTAAGTTATTGGAGTTCACCGTTTTTCCATAAAACACCTGAAGCAGGTGAATGTATTTATATTTATTAATCTCTCTGGCTTTTTCATTTCCTCTTCTTTTCTAAGTGTGTGTGTGTGTGTGTGTGTGTATCTATACACATACATATATTTCTTTTTCCTTCCTTTTTCCTCTATGACTTCTAACATTGATTAAGTTATTTGAGGGCAAGTGATAACAGTTAAGTTGTCATTTTGCTTTGATACTGTTAAGATCATCTACAACTTATGTAATGATTCTTAAACATTTCTGGGCATAAACTCCCCCTCCCTCAGGTGGTTGTTTAAGATGCATATTCATTGTTCTTGCTCCCAGAGGATCTGATTCCCTGGGTATCAGGTGTGGAGGCTTCTCAGGAGTCAACCTTTCTTACAAACATCCTGCGTAATTGGCCAACCTTTCTTACAAACATCCTGTGTAATTGCGAGGCATATGACAATTTAGGACTTTACTTTCCAAACTGCTATTAAGAGTTATATTAGGGACCAGCAGGTGATATAGTGATTAAGGCACTAGACTTCCACATTGCTGGCCACAATTTAAGTCCCAGACCCAGCAGCTTGAAAACCTAAAATCCCAAGAGGAGAATGGAAGAGAAGGGATTGCCACATAGGTATTCCCCCCTGAGGGGTGATTTCTCACCTTCCCTATTTCTGTCTCTCTCCACCGAGTGCATACTCTGTATGGCAAAACCTTAAAAAAAAAAAAAAAAGCAAGAAACAAGTTACATTAAATTGTTTAGGCCACTCTGATCAAATATATTATTCTAAGAGAGACACATATCAATCATGTCAATACATATTGATTCACTGCTATCTGAGAAGCAATCAGGAGAGTTCAAACACTTCAACTTGGGACTAACTACCTTTTCAGTAGGCTCTAGCTGATCCGTTATTTGTCTTTAGATATTTTGTGTGTTCTAGTCCTGATATTATTAGCTTAATTTTCTATCTATTTACACATGTCAATCAATAACATATTAGCCAGATTTCAGTTGTAATCAAATAATAAAATGAATCTATAATAATTTTCATAATATGCCATAATGGCCCTATGAACCTGATGATGCCTCCCCATGGTAGCTTATACACTAGATTTCGAATTTTCTTTACGGAGCTGAAGGATTCAATATAATGTTGTCAATGTAATCATTTATAATATATTGGAATTGTGTTTTACGTCTTTAAAGCAATTTGGCATGTGTTATAAATATTGATGGTTGCGAATAAGTAGAGGAAGCCAAGAGCCAGAATAGCCGAAAAGTTCTTTTGGCGCCCCCTAGTGTCCAAATCTTAAGAAACATATTCAACATTAAGGAAATAATTTGCAATACTATTGATTCTCTTTATTTATTTACTTTTGCTATAAAGCACATGCATTTGCTGGGGTAGAGGGAAGGATGAGAAATCACCCTCCAGAGAGGATGGCCACACTGCAATCCTCTCTCTCCATTCTCCTCTTGATGGGAATTTTGGGCACACATGCACCATCAGGTCTGGGACTTGAAACATGAAGTTGGTCATGTGGAATCCAGCCACCTTAACTACCATGCCACTGGTTGTCCCTCAGTTCTCATTTTTAAATGTTAAGTTTTGTTTGTTTGTTTTAGTTTACTTATTTTTTTTCTTTCATGAACAAGAGAGAGAGAGAGAGAAACTTAGCACCACCAACAGGTCTCAATGCTGCAATCCATCCCCAGCCTCAGCTAGCCCTAGACCATGGGCATACATGTACCTTTTGTATTCAGTGAGGTCTCTGGACTTGAAGATGGAACTTTCCCATGTAGGTCAACCGAGGAGAGAGAGAAAGCACACCTCTCCCCAATTACAATTCCTTCTTCTCCATTTCTCCATCTTGTTAGGATTTTGGGTGCACACACATGCCCAGCATGCTTTTTAAGCTGCTAGGGAGTCAAACCACTCATTATGTGGTTCTACTGCCTTAACTACTAGGCTATGGGGCCTACCCGATGTGATTTTTATAATAGGCAGAATTCAGTTGATAATGTTTTTAGAATTACTTAGCTAATTGTACTTATTTATCACTATTATTATTATTATTATTATTATTATTATTATTATTATTATTATTATTATTATGTTACCCAGAGAGAGATAAGGGGGGGGTAAGAAAGCAAGCTGCCAGATCTGGGACTTGAACAGTAGTCAGCTATGTGGGAGTCCAGCACCTAAACCACCATGCCACCTGCCATTCTCTGATAATTCCATTTTTTAAAAATTGAAATCTGGAATTGTCTAGCAAGATTATTCAAGTTAATAATAAACATTTACTTACCATATATGAAGTACGAGTATATATAAACTTCTTTGGTGTTTATATCAACCATATGGACCAGTGTAATTAGCACCACTTTACAAATGTGGAAACTGAGGCATGATTTCCCTAAATAGCATATCACTAGTAGGTAATAGCATCTAAACAAGAGCTACAAGTTTTTTATTTATTTTTGCTGAAGGGCATATGCACTTGCCAGAAAGAAAGCGCCCCCCAATAGGGTGTGGTCATGCCACAATCCTCCTTCTCCGTTCCTCCGTCTTGTCAGGATTTGGGGCATGAAGGCAGATGTGCCTGGCATATCTTTTGAGCCACAGGGGTCCAGATTTGTACTGTGGTCCACCATGTGGGTTCCAGTTCCTTAAGCACAGAGCCTCACCACTAAACTGTGGTGCCAGCCCCAGGAGTGTCCTTTTATTCAATGAATAATTTCTGTTACCTTCTCAACTGTCACAATGTAATTTTTCAGCCCATGAATACAATGGGTAATGTATACTCATCATCAATCTCAACCATCTGCAACATTGCGTGCAGTATATTGTTCTTAACCGCTTTCTTCCACTGTACGTTTAACGTGAGGCATTGTTTTTTTAACCTATCTACAAATTTGTTTCCATTCATCAACATCCCTCTCTTCTCCTACCCCAAATTCTGCTCAGTGTCCAATAATCATTCTACATCTCTCCTTCTATAAGGTCATTGTTCCCAACCCAAGTGTTCTTACTCAAAATACTGTGCATTTGCCTCACCATACATTGCAAGCTCATCTGTTTAATTCTTTAACCAATTACAGCCTACTCTTCAGATGGGGGGCCACAGAGGTTCTCTTTTAAAGGTAAAGGTCTTGCACTTCAGGTAATAGGGAACAGCAGCACCTCTCCTACCTTACAACGGTCTAAATGTAAAGTGTTTCTTTCCTAAGGAGAAAACTCGCTTAAGAGACAAAAAGCCAGTTAAAATGAAATATTCCTGAAAACACACATTTACGCAAGTTTTTTACCCATTAACTAAGAGGAACCATAGACTATTTTCTTGGTACAAATTCCTTTGGAAGACACCTTAAATAAGACACAGTGAAAATGTATTAGGGAAAGTGCAAATATTACATCTTCTAGAAAATATGTCTCCTTTTTTGTTTGTAGAAGCAATGCAAGTATATGACTTAGAAATTCCTGCTCTTTGCATTTTAATGAATTTAATACTAGTTTTTGCTTAAATGATTGATGCTATAGTGTTTATACTATTTTATGTCCTGATTTTCTCACTTAACTTGCCTTGTGTTTTTTAATTTTTCCCTTTATTTACAATAGAATGTGTGTGCATAGATACGAGAGGGAGAGAGAGAAAGAGCCCTCTGCAGGGTCTGGTCATGCTTCAGTCTCTCCCCTCTAGTCCTCCAGCCATGGGAACTTGGGCACTAGCATGCTTGGTATGTGGCAGGCTGGGATTCGAGCCACGGTCACCATGTGGGATCCAGCTTCTCTTGAGCAGTGCCCTACCACTGAGCCACAGCCCACCCTTTCCTTGCTGAGTTTTAAAAACCTGTTTGATGACTGCACAGCATTCCAGTGTATAGATAGCCTATAATTTATTTAATCATTTTTATATTTAAATAATATCCAGATTATTTTCCTTGTTTTCATTACCAATAAGTCTTTTTGAATGGCTTTGTATATAAACTCTTATTTCTTTGGGCCTCAGAAGGAATTACGGGTACAACAGTTAAGCACATTTAAGATGTCTGATGCATGCTGCCAAATCGTGCTTCAGCAAATCTTTACTATTGATCACTTTTTGAAAAGTATCCGTAGAAAGACAGTCATTCACTTAGTCACTCCTGAAATATTAATTTAGCCTCTATCATGTGCCAGGCGCTGGCTAGGTGCTTGCAAAACCTTTTTGAGCATAAAGATAAAGATCAGTGCCTTCGAGAAGTTTCATTTTGGAATAGGCGGACAGTAAAAGCATAATAAATATATAAGTTACATAGCATTATAAATAAAGATATAAATAAACACTGTAACAATCAAACTTCACAGAGGATGTCTGAATTGCCTCATAGTTGAAAAAACAAGGTTGAAATACTTAAGTAGTACTGAAACTTATTTGATAATGGAGTTTTGGGACAGCTGAAGAATTAAATATTTATTTGTATAGAAACACAACCCAGGCAATAATGCTTCCTACATGCAGGAATTTCCTGCGTTAGTCTATAAAATTCTTATGTGTGTATCACTGAATTGATTCATCTCAATACAATGTGTTTTTCAGAACTATACTTAGACTGGGGCCAGCAGGTGGTGTGGTGGTTAAGGCACTGGATCCCATAGGGCCAGCTGTGTGGTTTGAGTCCTGGATCTGGTGTCTTGAAAATTACTATGGGCAGTATGTGTGTGTGCCCAGGGTTCTGAGAGGGAGATGGAGGAGAAGGGACTGTGGCATGGCCATCCCCTTTGGAGGATGATTTCTTGATTTCTCTCTCTGTCTCTGGTGAGTTACTCACTCTTTAGAAAAAAATTTTTTTA